CACTGTTAAGGAATGAGACATACGATGGATCAAGGCCGTTGGCTATTCCGAAGTTGAACCTTCAGTACCTGAGTCTGGGAGATTTCCTGTGGCGCTCGTTCTTGCTGTACCGATCAGAGGCATTCTTCCAAATCCGCAAGGACATGGAGTCTGTCGTCAAACGCATGCAGCCAAAAACATCTCGTGACGGAAGCTTAAACTTCGAGGGATTCTCTCGAATGGCCATTCCAATCTCGAAGCCTGCTATAATTGATGTTGCACCTCCGAAGGTCGGCGCAACAAACCCGGCGTTTGTTCGCGCAGAGATTGCCATCGAGGTGGGAAGACTTGCAGACACTGTGAGGAAAGAATGGGACTCACTTCGTCCCGATGATGTTGTGTACCTATTAGCTGTTCAGTCCGGCCCTGGTCAGCTCAGAGAGAATGGGTCTGAGAGCCCTCGGATGACCCATCTTCGAACGGCGGAAATTGTACAAGTGCTCGATGAACAAGGTCGCGCACTGCGTCAGCAACCGGGTCAAATCAATGGTTACCAATCTCGACCCCGGATCAGGAGACTGATTGTCCACTTGGATGCTGCTGCGTTCAAAGCTGACAAGGACAATCAAGCCCACGGCAAACCGGATGTTTACCCCCTGATTAACGTGGTTGCACGGAGAAAAGGCAGAGAGAATAACTTCAAGTCAATTCTTCAGACGATGCAAAAGCTCATTGTCTCTGATATGACACTTCCCTCCTGGCTCCAAGACATCTTTTTGGGCTATGGTGACCCCGCTGGTGCTAAGTACACGCAGCTTCCAAACCGACTCCGGACTGTTGACTTCCGGGACACCCTCCTAGACTGGACTCATCTGGTTGAGAGCTTCCCGGGAATTGAACCCTCCGCAGCTGAGAACTCGAGCTTTGGCCCACCTTACGTTCTTGAATATGTTGATCAAGAGCCAGCGGCAGAACCCCCCGCACCAAAAAAGCGACGCCGTGAGCAAGCCCAGGAGGCAGAGTCGGGCCCCAGTGCTATGCGCGTTTCCACTTACAAGCCGCCCAACCCCGGCCCTTACCCAGTTGATGCACCTAAGCTGAACCAAGTGCGATTTACTCCTGCCCAGGTGGAGGCAATTGCATCTGGGACCCAGCCGGGGCTCACCGTGATTGTGGGACCTCCCGGCACTGGAAAGACAGATGTTACGACACAAATCATCAACAATATTTACCACAATTTCCCCAATGAACGGACATTGCTCATCGCGCACAGCAACCAGGCACTCAACCAACTTTTCCAGAAGATCGTCGCTCTTGACATTGATGAGCGCCATTTGTTGCGACTGGGCCACGGTGAGGAGGAATTAGACACAGAGTCCAACTACAGCAAGCATGGACGTGTTGAATCTTTCCTTGACAACCGCAATTATTATCTTTCAGAAGTGATGCGCTTGGCTGCATCACTTGGGATTGAGGGTGCGCATGGAAACTCATGTGAGACTGCAGGATACTTCAACACAGTCTACATCCAACCGACGTGGGCCAAGTTCTGGGACCGAGCCAACTCCGAAGAGGTATCGACCGAGGACATTGTTGCTTCGTTCCCATTCCAATCGTACTTTGCAAATGCTCCTCAGCCTCTCTTTGAAGCTGGAGCTACCAAGGAAGCGATCGTCGACACTGCTTCGGGTTGCCAACGTCACATTGCTCGGATCTTCTCAGAACTGGAGGACATTCGGCCATTCGAGATCTTGAGACAACCTCGCGACAAGGCAAACTACCTGCTGATCAAGGAGGCCCGCGTTGTTGCAATGACGTCGACACATGCAGCCATGCGCCGGCAAGAAATCGCTGATCTAGGCTTCCACTATGACAACGTAGTTATGGAAGAAGCCGCGCAGATCACCGAAGTCGAAAGTTTCATTCCCAACGCTCTGCAGAACATGAAGAATGGCGAGCTTCCTCTCAAGCGCGTTGTTCTCTGTGGTGATCACTACCAGAACTCCCCGGTCATCCAGAACATGGCTTTCCGTCAATACGCTCATTTCGAGCAGAGTCTCTTCTTGCGACTGGCACGCCTAGGTGTGCCTGTCATCAACCTGGACAAGCAAGGTCGTGCACGATCAAGCATCGCAGAGCTCTTCCGCTGGCGGTATAAGGAACTTGGCGATCTCCCAATCGTCGAGACTGGTGAGTACCAGCTGGCCAATGCTGGTTTCCAGTTCGACTACCAGTTCATCAATGTCCCTGACTACCAAGGATCTGGAGAGCGTGAGCCAACTCCTCATTTCATTCAGAACCTTGGTGAAGCGGAGTACGCTGTGGCCATGTATCAATATATGCGCTTGCTGGGCTATCCTGCTTCTAAGATCTCAATCTTGGCGACGTATGCTGGACAGACCGCTCTGATCCGTGATGTTTTGGGTCACCGCTGCGGCAAGAACCCCATGTTTGGAATGCCCAAGATCGTTACCACAGTGGACCGGTACCAAGGAGAGCAGAACGATTGTATGTTACCCCGAAGGCATCTTTTCTTGGTGCCATAAAACGTCACCGCAAACAGTTCTTCTAACATATAATCTAGACGTGATTCTCTCTCTCACCCGTACCCGCAGTGTCGGATACCTGCGCGACGTGCGCCGTCTAACCGTTGCCTTATCCCGTGCTCGCCTGGGACTTTACGTCCTAGGCCGCCGAGAAGTGTTCGAGTCATGCTACGAGCTCAAGCCTGCCTTTGATCTTCTTTTGCAGCGTCCTGATAAGCTCATGCTGGCACCTGGCGAGATGTTCCCGACAACACGGGCTGCTGATGCCACTGTTGAAGGTACACCTATGGAAGGTGTTGAGCATCTTGGTCAATATGTTTTCGAGATGACCCAGGCTAAGGTGAAGGCTATGGGTGATGGTGATATCACCATGGACACAACGCCAGAGGGCGAGGAAGACCTTCTGGATGGAGATGAGGCTATGGGTGCTGAAGATGATTATGGCGATGAGGATATTGTATGATCTAGATTTTGCAAATTTAATGACCGCATTCTTCTGTCCTTCTAGACCTTGGAATAGTAGGGCGTAGGGGTTTGTGTGCACCGCCACGATCCCTCTACTGCTAGGGATCAAAATGTGGTTATTAAGATATATTGGACAGTTGAGGTAGGCTTGTTTTCTTTACTTTCTTCTTTATGGCCAGCTGTTTGGGAAAATATCGGATGTGCATTTAGAGAAGAGAAAAGATAAGGGCATTCTATTCTACTCCTGGGAGCAAAACTCCTTCATTCTACTTGCCTAAACCCCGCAAGAAGCGCGCCCTGATATCCTTGCAAATATCGACGTTATTGCGCGCGCGTTCCTGAGAATCGCGTGCCCTTCTCGCCAGCCACTCATTCCGGTCCTTGACAAACGCCTCCATCCGCTCATCGCGCTGCTTGACCATAGCATGCTTCTCAGCACTCATGCTGCTCACATCCGGTTCAGGTACATCATCGGAAGGTGGAAATTGAGGCTTGCGCGGAATGCGTTTCTCCACAGGAAGAATATCAAGCTTGGGCCCGGGGAGAGTCTGGTACCAGTACGCAGTAGTACTCCAGTCATCGCGCAAATGGTTCGCATGCCCTGATTCCAGGGTCACCTTGATTTTTTTGTTGAAGCGCACCGGATCCGTAAGGTGCCAGCGGTAGCTGACTTGGTAGTTGGGCACGTCTTCTTCGTGGATGATCGTGCCGCAGAACGGGTACGCGTTCTTCTGCATGCCCCATCCCTGCGTGAAATAGTCCTCCCCGCCAGTGCCATGCATACTAGGCGGCCAGGTATCATCGTCGATGAAGATCATGTCGTCGCCTTCACCCCACCAGGTGCCTTGGAAGTGCGCAACGGAGTGGTTGCAGCCGATGAACTGGCCAGCGCCTTCGGTCTCCAAGATGACGTAGTTATCCTTTCCGTCTAGGTTCGGCACTTGCGTTTCGAGGCTGTTCGTCTGAATCCGAGACGGCGCCCAGCCGTTGGTTGGGTTCATGCGGTGCCAGTGCGCATGGAAATACAGCGTATCCGCAGGCAGAGGCTCGGGGTAGAGCTCATAGTCGATGTAGAAGTACTGGAAATAAGCCTCGTCGTTTTGGTTCTCAATCTCAATGCGTGCGCGTTTGTTGAACGGCATAGTGAGGTAGCAGTTGAACGCGGCAGCACCGCCAAATTTCTTCTCCTCGGACGGCTTAACCGACACCGTGAAGGGGAGAGACTGGAAATTGGCCGCCATGGAATGACCGAGACAGAAGAAGTCGCCAATGGGTGCGATCACGTTGGGAGTCTCAGAATCATCCCAGTACATCTTGATGAGCACCTTGCGGTAGTAGTCCGGGTCGCTGATTTCGTAGTTGAGGCCGAGAGCATTGTGAATTTCCATCATCGCGACACCGGACTTGGAGTAGGGGATCAACCCCGGGCCTAGGATCTTGCGGCAGGTTTGCACGAACCACAGATGGGTGATGGCGCCTGGTCCTTCAAGGTCGGCGAGCACGATGGACTCGCCAGGCAAGACCACAAAGGCATCTTCGTTAAGGCCCTTCTGGTCCCAACTAGCCACCCGAGCACTGCGGGCAACTTTTCTCTTGGCCATGCTGGCCAGTAGATCGCTTCCAATAGGCATTTTGGGGGATAGTGAGGTATTCGAGCAAAGAGATTGGAATAGATCGTGGCAAGCAACATCTTGGATGAGGTAGGCCTCCTTAAGTAACCTACTAAACCGACATCCTCACGCTGATCATCTATGATCATTGATCAAGGTATGCGGAGTGAACTGATGTCTCCGCGACGAACAAGATATCCGTCCTGGAGGTATCGCGGAACATTGCCGGCCCTCCGCGGGGGTGGACGCGGAGGACATAACCTTCCCCGCGATTCCTTTCTGTGCTTAACACTATACACCTGAGTATGGAAGAACATCTCCCAAACAAGCGAAAACGCACGAGCCTGGCATGCGATACATGTCGCGCGCGGAGAACCAAATGCGATTCGCAGAGACCCTCATGCCACTATTGCCAAACTCACGGCGTGGCCTGCATCTACCAAGAGCCGCCAGTGGAGCGTCCCAGTCGGTATGTGACTGTTTCCTCCGCGCAAAGACAGTTCTCACATAGTCGGACAGGGTCGAAGAAGAATTGAATGCCGTGAACAAACGCCTTGATCAACTGATCAGCTTGATGCTTCCAGCACAGCCCGTTTCCCCGGATGTTCGCACTGCAGATCTGCGAAATGAATATGATGATCTGGCAAATCAAGCTAACTCGCCTTTTGATTTGCCTTCCAAGCTGCTTGGTAATTCGTCCGTTATGCATGTGCTGGGGCTAGATGCAGGTTTCGCGCAGACCTTAATCCGAGGGGAACGAGCTGCCGGGTCCAAGTGCCATGAGGCCGGAGGTGCACGGATGCTTATTGTCCATCATCGGCATGCAGTGAGGTGGGTTGAGCAAGCATATCAAAGATCACAACTAATTCTCACATCAGCGCTTTGGCTGCATTCTCCGCGCGGGTTCACATCTGGTATCCTATTCTTCCATCGGACTTTTCGCAAGAGTACTTCCGGGTACTCTCTGGTTCGTTACATCCATCTTCGGAATCTTGCCTTTCCCTTCTTGTGGCTGCAGTCGGCCATATAGTAGGGGAATATGAGGCAGTCTCAGATACCCCGTATTTCGAAACAGCACTAGCCTCGCTGCCAATCATCATCTCCGAGTGCAGTATCCAGAGTGTCCAATGCTTGGTGTTGATCGCTTTGTATTATTGTTGTCTATTGAAGCCTTGTCTGGCACATGACTATTGTTTAATTGCGTCGTCCAAGATCCAAAACATTATCAAAAGGTGACTCCACTATACCTAAGTACAATGACGAAAAGCTGATATAACTATTCTAGTGGATTAGAAAGTGATGATCCAAACACCGTTGAACTAACTCGGCAAGCGTACTGGGGTGTACTATTACTCGAGAAGTAGGCAGTTCAAGCCAAAGTAGTGATTTATCACTGACTTCCATTATAGTGAGATTTCCGGCCAATTGGATGTTGCCAAGAGCGATATCTGGTGTCTGGATGAACATGTCCCACTCCCACTATGCCAGCATACATGGCAATTTAAACCCGAGAGCACATCACCAGGAGTTGCCACCCCGGAACTTGCGCTACCCGTCGACACAAGCGTGGAAAATACGCGATGCTATTTCCTGGCTGAGATTGCCATGAGACGTATGCTACATCGATGCAACACAGCGGTCCAGGCGACGTCTACCGGAAAGTACGTGTATGCCTCAGGTATTGCACTGGAGCTGGAACACCAGCTCGAAGAATGGTATAGTTACTTACCGGATATAAACCGTTTTGATAAGGGCGATGTGTTACAACCATTGGAACTTGTCGAAATCCCGTCCTGTCCTTTGTCAAACTTTCTTCGGGTCCAGTACTACTGCTGCAAGCTTTCAATATATTGGCCGGCCGTTTATCAGGTGATGCAGGATGGAGCCATTACAGACCTCCTTCTGGATCATTGCCAGATATTCTTTGATTCGTATGTAATGCTGACACCTAGTATCGTTGCGGCATTCCATAACTGCCAGGTGAACAGATGGACATTGTTCGTTAGGTGGGTTCAATTTTTATTTGATAAACATATAGGTTGACTAATTTTGAGAGGTAGTATTTTTATGACTACGGTGGCCGCCATGGCTGCAGCAAATACTCCCTGTTTGAGTGGGCTCTGTTCACCTCAGTTCTATCAATGTCTCCGAGCATCGGGAAATACCGAACAGACAATTTTACGAAAGAGCCCATCCTTGATGATTCTCCAGGGAGTAATAGAAGAGCGTCTTTCAGATGCTGGTTTATAAGAATTCCAACGATATCATGGATTGCTTTTTCTTCAGAGAATGACAAAATCTAAGGCATCTTTATCTCCCAGCAGTTGACAACCCGTCCCAAACATTCACCTCCTCGAAAACAGCACTCTCCTGCCCCCCATTAGCAAATACTGATATGCCAGTAGGGCTAGAATACTCCGGAGAATAAACCATCGTAGTCAAGGCAAACCAGTCGTTTGCAAAAACCTCTAAGACATCGGCGTCAGAGATTACGCGAATACGCAAATTTTCCAATTTGTCTTCGGACCCGACAGCCAGATGACTAGCTCTATAGAAGAGAGTAAATGGGCCCTTTTCGGGGCAATTGCGTATGTTTGGATCAGATGTTGATCTTCCCTTGCTGACACTGATCGTCTCTTCCTGAAGAGAAAACGTGATGGTAGTACATGAGGACATGTTGCTATTATGGCGGATATGAAAACCCAATTCATGGCAGCGACTTGGGTCAATGGAAATCGTTGCCTCGAGCTCCCAAGTAGAAAACGTTGCCGAGCACAGTGTCTGCGTTGCTTCGGCTGTCGAAGACGGGAGAGAGATATTTTGCCACTGGTAGACATGACCACAGCGTTTGCGGAGTTGATATATCTCTTTAACAGGCCGTATTCCGAGGGTTTGGATAGTGGTTGAGCCGTCTCCATTTGTAACTCGTTCAACAGAGGCTACCTCCGACAGAGGACCGTGAAGTGCTCGAGTAACATTTGGTACCGAAAGAAGAAAGAGCTCGCGAGGAATGGCCAATGCTCCGTTCCATCCTTTTTCTTTGGCATAACTCGCTGTAATGTCCTCTTCGGGAATCCATGCGTGCATTATATGTCTCTGAGAACCCGATTCAAAGTATGAATTGGCCGCATACAGTGACCCGCAGTCCAAATATCCGCCATGAGTGTAGTCAAGGCGAGCTGAATTGTTCTCAAACCTCAAGTCACCAAACATCCATAGCAGACACCGAACAGTCCTTGGGGCAATTTGTGGACTGGATTCAAAATTTCGGATATGTTCACGTTCCACATCCCCCTCTGCTCCCAGGATCAGACAGACGCGGCTGTTGCTCTCAGATTCGAGGGTCAGAAAATTAACGCATTCCCAGTTAACGCCGAAGTTTCCAGACCATTTCGGCGAAGGCTGGAATCGAGCAGGCATGTTGACCAAAGGAGACAGATACTGCCATTCTGATATGTTGTTATGCGGCACAGAATACAGGAAGGCTGTTGGGCCGTGGCCTGCAATCCCTCCGGAGACAAGACCATACAGGGACTTTTGTCCACGTAACTGATGCAAAGCATGCCATTCTGCTAGAAAGGGATCACGAAAGCCAGTCACTTGTAGCCCCTTGGGCTCACCCATCAAGATAGGATTTTCTGAACATTTCGTCCATGTCTTACCGCCATCGTTGGATTTGGCAATTGCTAGTCCAGCAGCGTTGCGGGGGTATGGAGGTGTGCTCCAGTGAAAAGGCAGATCTTGAACTGAAGAGTAGACAACTCTCAGAGGGCCTTGTTCGGAATTTGTAGGAGGTGCCATGCAACCTGTAAAGACTCCGTCATGATCATAAGGCTGATCAGGAACCAAAGCGGGCCTCATGGAAGGTGTCCAGGAAATGAGGTCTTCGCTGGTGATATGACCCCAAGACATCGAGCCCCATTCGGTACCATGTGGATTGCCTGTACCGTGTGAGCAAAATCCAACCACATCATCGCAAACACTTACATTGATAGAAGACATGGTATAAGCCCGTCGCCGAATCATATCCAGGCGCACAAGGATCATTGATCCAGTAGTCAGCAGTAAAATGCAGAGACGGCCTGATGCGAGTAGGACCCATGGCTTTTGCTACATCTCAGACCAATATCATTGAACTTATGCACAAGTTATAGACAACCGCCATTGCCAAGGCGGCGCTATGCCGACCTCGGCATGTACCGAGCATCGCGGAGCAGCCTCAGCACTCCGCGAGTCGTATAGCCGAGCATCGCGGAGCAGCCTCAGCACTCCGCGAGTCGTATAGCCGAGCATCGCGGAGCAGCCTCAGTATTCCGCGAGTCATATACTCACGTACCCCGGACTCCACATTTCCCCACGGGGAAGATCGAGCATGCATTGAGGCTGCTGCATATATAACTGCGTACTCCGCTTCTAGAGATGCAGGCATTGTCAGAGCTATACTGGCGGGGATCCATCACGATGACCGACGAGTACAGTGTCTCCACCCCCAGGAGATTGTAGTGACTGACTTCCCATTAGAATTGACTACACCGTTATCAGCCCTGATAAGAAATGGCAAATGCTCCGTTCGCAGTGGCAATTCGCTCTCTGGGGTAAGTCTGCATACCTCAGAACTCAGAAGACATACATGTGCTCACATTATCAGCCCTCTGGGTATCCAGTGGTGTGATGATGCAGGGGTTCGACATTGTCGCGGGGGGTCAATTGGCGGCACTGCCCACATTCCAGAAGCAATTTGGCATCCTTGAGCCGTCGGGAGACTACATAATCCCGGCGCATTACCTTTCAGCTTGGAACTCGATTGCCCCAGCATGTGAGGTTGTATCCACCTTTGTTATTGTTCCCTTGCTGGAGAAGTTTGGGCGTAAGCCGGGAATCCTGGTGGCAATGATGATATCCGTTGCCGGAGTGCTTCTACAACAGTTGGCGACGGATTGGCGAATGCACCTTGCCGGCAGAGGCGTCAATGGTGAGCGAAGCCCTTCAAACCCCTTTCTCAATTCTGACATCACCCTAGGAATTGCCATTGGCACGATGTTTACCATCTCACCCCTCTGGATTGGAGAGACGTGTCGACCAGAGCTACGAGGTTTCTTCTTGTGCTTCTTCAATACTAGTATTGTGTTTGGGCAGTTTGCCATGTCAGTAACTACTCTCCTTCGAGTGTGTGGCCAATGTACTAATTCCCTGAGAAGTGTTGTAGTATCAAAGGGAGGAAGCAATATCGACGGAAAATGGTAAGGTCTGAACTTACGGTGTGCGCCGTGCTTGGGCTAACTTGTCATTATAGGCAATGGTGGCTCCCAGTGGTAGCCATGTATATCTTCCCACGTACGTACAAAACTAGCCACACGACTACTATTTTTAACATTTTGAATAGTCATTCTTACAGCAGGCTGGTTCTTCTTCCCCGAGTCTCCATACTGGCTCGTCAGATGTGGAAAATCAGCTCAAGCAAAGAAGGAATTAAAGAAAGTCTACGGTTTCAAGAATGACGCTTTCTACGACATTGAAATTCGACGAATGGAGGAAGAAATTCGCATTGCAACCGAGATTCAAAATTCATCAGACACACCTACGCACAGTTTTTTGGGAATTGACTTGTCAACAGAGTTTGAGTGCTTTGGAGCCAAGAACCGCAAAAGGACCTTTACCGCTATCTTTGCTGCCAGTGGCCAGCAAATGATTGGTGCTACATTCGTAATCGGCTACGCGACCTATTTTCTGCAATTGATCCATGTGAAAGATTATTTCGATGCATCGGTGGTTCTTTATATCGTCATGCTTCTGTCTAGTATTGCAGCTTTCCCTCTGACGGAGATTTTAGGGCGTCGGACCCTGATTGTCTGGCCACAATTCGCTTTGTGCTTTATGCTCCTGGTCATAGGGATTCTGGGATGTGTCCCAGACCAAACAAAAGCCAGTTGGGGCATTCTAGTTTTCATTTACCTGTGGGCAATCATTTTTCAGCTATCCATTGGAGCGACTGGATTTGTTTTAGCGTCGGAAATTGCTACCATGCGCCTTCGCGGTGCAACTCAGGGACTAGTCACTATCACCAATGCGGTCTGGGGGCTGATCATGCAGTTTACCATTCCATATATGGTAAGAGGTGGCATGTATCCATCTACGTATATTTACTGATCACTTTATCAGATCAATCCCGATGCAGGAAGTCTGGGTGGGAAGGTCGGCTTCATCTTTTTGGGGACGGGGCTTATTGCTGCAGTTGGCGGATGGTTCTTATATCCGGAAACAAAGGTACGACTTTTCTTATAAGACCTTACTAGAGTTTACTAAATCATGGTACCAGGGAATTTCGTTTGAGAAACTTGATGAATTATATGCACTGAGGGTGTCGCCAAGGCATTTTCAGCAAAGGGCAAATGAGACAAGCGTAGTGGAGGCGAGCCAGAAAGGCGACAGCTTGCATGTCGAAGCATGTTGAATAAAGACTACAAGTGTTGGTTTCAACGCCGGGCACATAACATAACCACAATGGCACTGGAGCGTGAATGATAAGATGTACCTCGCAGAGTTAAGCGTGTAAACCAGAGATATCTCAATTGTCTACTTTCAATATCACAGAAGTGGGAACTCTTAAATCAATGACCACAGTCTAGATATTTGAGTTTGGCTCGGATACCACAAGGCTCCTGTCAAATCCACGCCAGCCTGCGCCTTTATACGAAGATTGATTGATACGCTTATTCCTTAGAGTTATTAATCTCCTCGACGATATTCTGAGGATCTTTCCATGCCAGTGTCACATATCTAAAGGATTAGGAGTTGCATTGTGGCATAAGAGAGGTGGGCACATACTTGGTGTGACTTCCACGAGCAACAATGTGCCCGTTGAGGTTTGTGAATTTGATATTGGTGAAGGCGAGTGTCTTACCAACTGTATATAATGTGTTAGTCAATGTTGTCCCAGACAAGGAAAAGAGATATTGGAACGAGGGACATACACTTGTCGCAGGTCACCTCCTAAACTCGGTAGTTAGCACTGCAAAGACTGGGAGGAAGGGAAGATAGACATACTGCAAAGATCTTGTCACCGATCTTGCCACCAGAGTTGAGATATGTCACTAGAGCCGATTCTTGCATTAGACGGCGACTCAATATATGATCACCGCTTGATAGACTCACCGTTCAGGTCAGTTGACACTCCAGTCGAGAACAGGCCACGGGAAGCCACCGCCAACGAGCCACCGAGGTCCACTATCATGCAGGTAAGCAATTGATCAGAATACCTATACAACATGTAAGTATGAGCATACCCATGCTGGCAATGGTGCCTCCATGGAGGATGTTCAGGCGGTTCTATATGAGAAGTAGATATTAGAGACGGGTTAATAGGGCCGGGTGAGCCAAACAAGGACTCGAAGATGCATCACAGTCATCAAGATGAATTTATTTGCACAAATGGACTTACCGTATGCTCTTTCTGGATATCGAGCTCAAAGTTGACAATACCAGGACGGGCAGCAGTGACACGGAGCTGTAACCCGTCATTGATTAGTTGAATGTAACCAAAGAGAACCTAGCTCGTGCTCACATTGTTCAAGAGACTTCAAACAGGCAATTATCATGAACCATTAGTCTCATTCATCGCTCTAGCAGAAACGCATGTTCACGTACCGAGGCTCAAGGCCCGAAGTAGCCCGAAAGGACTCCCACACCTATAGATGAAGGTTATATACGTTAGTAAACAATCATTGGGAGTCAGCGGGCATACACAAACTTACCGAGCGAACAAATTTCAAAGAAGCCATTTTGCAAATAAGGAATGGACAGTGAAAGACAAGACCAACATTCTACTCTCAATCGGCGGGCTCATCCCCCGGAACTGCCATTTTCTGCCGCTCCGGCCACCGTACTAGCGTCATTTCCACCACAGCTGTTTTCTTTTCTTTCTTTGCTTCAGGTGTCTCATCATGGCCAGCGCGACATCCCGTCCCCTTGAGTACCTGGAGGGTCTCCCAGGGACGACATTCTACAAGTTATACCAGCAGCCATCAACAGCTCTCGCGATATTCCGGCGCATGCTGCCAGATCTGGGTATGAGCTCATCTACGTGAATGCAAATGATTCACTAACGTGGATTTAGCAAAATGCTTTGTGATGGCACTTCTGTATCTGAAAGACCCTCTTCCGACAGCTGATCTGGAAATCTGGGTCAACACAGAGAGCAAGAAGTGAGCGCCTTATCTGACAGATTGAGCTCCATAGACTGACGATCACTCAAGACAACGGGATAATGCGCTTTCAATTTTAGGACGACTGCACATTCTTTCTACGACACTCACCGGTGAGAAAACCCGAGCCTACATGGTCACCAACCCATTCGCTTCTTCGCTCCGACAAGCTCTCATGGGCGCCGAGGATTCGCACTCCTTCGGTGTGTTCTCCCAGGGTCCCGGTGAAACGCAGACCTCGATCGCCGATCTAGACGAGTACGCCAGGCGACAATGGGAAGGTGTGATGGGATACATGGTTGGAACTAGCGCATTTGGCGGACAACGAGACATGGTCAATCTGAGTAAGGGCGTCAAGCAGCTTCTCCAAGCTGGACATCTGGTCGAAATCCGAGGAACCCGCGTCGACATCACCAAGGATGGCTTCGGGTTTGTACTACAAGACGTCAACACGCAAGTCTGGAATATTCTGATTCTCTACGTCGAAAGCGCCGAGGCCATCGGCATGGACAGTGTCGAGGTCCTTTCTTTCCTGTTCTTGCTGAGCAGCTTGGAACTCGGTGCCTCTTACGAGAAGAAGCACTTGACCTCAAATCAACTCCGTACCCTCACCGACCTAGCCGACTTTGGCATTGTCTACCAGGAAGACCCCGACGCACCGTGCTTCTATCCCACGCGTCTCGCAACCACCCTTACCTCCGACTCCAGCGCACTGAGCAATCCTGTCACCGGGTCCCTCACCGGACCGGCTAGTCAGTCTAGTGGCTCGGGCTCGGGATTTATCATCATTGAGACTAACTACCGGCTTTATGCCTACACTTCATCGCCCCTCCAAATCTCCCTCATCTCCCTCTTCACAAACCTCAAATACCGCTTCCCCAATCTGGTTACAGGAAAGATCACCAGACAATCTGTCCGCCGAGCCATTGAGATGGGAATCACCGCGGATCAGATCATATCATACCTATTATCGCATGCGCACCCACAGCTGCGCAAGCATAACGCTGGCCACGGCACTTCCAATGTCAAGGGTGTCCAAGCATCTGTGCTCCCGCCCACCGTCACAGATCAAATTCGGCTTTGGCAACTGGAGCGAGACCGCCTTCGGGCCACAGCTGGCTTCCTGTTCAAAGACTTCACCAGCCTGGCGGAATATTCGGCTCCTTGCCAGTATGCTGCGGAAATTGGCGTGTTGGTTTGGAAGTCCGAAAAGAAACGAATGTTTTTTGTCACTCGGCATGAACAGGTTGCAGCATTTTTGCGAAGCCAAAAGGGAGGCGGCAAGTGATTGTGATACAGGTGCAAAGCTGCTTACATTGAATTTGGATAAGGAAAAGCAAGATCAAATTTTTGGGGGCGTTGTGGATTTTGGAAGCATATTACGAATTAACGAATCACATGTCCTTACAAGGCCATGATATGAAAATTGTACAATAAACCAAGGTTATAATCAAGACAGAAGAAAGAAATATGCCCTGTAGATCATCGATTTACAAGTAACTTATCCACCAAGCAACGACATATCATACTATAAATTATACTATACTACCTCCCAACCTTCCTCTTATAACTAACCCACTCCCCATCCATCCCCCTCCTCCGATAACTAACAAAAGTCTCCCCAGAAACATCATCCGGCAAAATGACCCTAACATCAGAAACCCTCATCCCAGCCGGCACTTTAGGTAAACACAAATCAATAGGCTTAGGAAGAAACCCTCCACTAGGCCCCGTAACCCTCACATCCCCAGCATACAAATCCCCCTCTTCAATAGTTATGATCTCCTCAAGAACATCAGCCAAAAGCGGCCCATTCCACACCCCCTCTCGATGCGGCGCGGCGCGCAACGTCCGTACAGCCTGCCGTCTAATCCGTGGCACACGGCATTTCAATGCTGTGTAGTAGACCGGTGGAATATAGCCTGCTTCGACGGTGAAGCTGGCCCCGCCGCAGTATGGTGTTTGGAGGAGGTGGGCAGTGATGTCTTCTGATGTTTCGAGGATTTCTAGGAGGGATGTTTCGAGTATAGTGTTCATGTCGGACATTGTTTTGAAGTTTTGGAAAAGGGCTTTAAGGTCGTCTGATTGCGCAGTTAGGGTTGCTAGGTGTTTTTCTTGGAAGTTGTTTGATGTCCATGTTTTCCAGAGGTCCAGGAGGCAGCTCATTATTGTTACGAAGTTTTCAGTGTACGAGTCGAAGATCAATTCTTGGTCTTCGGTTGAGGGGGTTAGGCATACTGAGGCCATTATTGTTGCCATTTCGTGGTGGACTCGGAGGAGGAGGTAGCCGGTTTTGTCTTTGCCGCGTGTTTTTGTGTTGTCGAGGCGGGATAGGGTGGATGTGTATGCTTTGCGCCAGAGGGTTAGGTCGGTGATGATTTTATTCTGTGTTTCGGCCATTTCTTTGTGGTCTGTTGGTGAGTCGGCTGTGTGATGGTCGTGATAGTGTCTTTCGAGGCAGTGGACTCTGTTCAAGAGATCATCCAGTGTGCGTCTTGCATCTAGGGGCGAGGTGAAAATATAGGGAATAGTCGTAGTCTGTGGATCTTGCGTTACGACACACATATGTGAAGGGACATGGCCGAACGTAGCCGATTGAGTGCCTAGTCGGGAGTAGGCGTCGACCAAGGCTTTGTAGGCAAAATCTCCCTCCGTGCACAGGATAGTCGGGGCCATCGTAGATCGTGGCCTCGACACAGAAACATCGGAAAGCAGCTTCATGCCATGTCGAAGATGTGCACTTCCCATCTGGTACTGGCCACGTAGGTATTCCAGCGTGACGAAAAGCATGCACGTAATCAGCGCCACGCGGAGCGAATGGCTGCTATCAGCTTTATTACTGCGCAGGTATTGAATCGCCTTGTTATACTGCTGAAGCGTAAACCGCTCTTTATTGACCTTGTTTGCAACAAGCGTCCCCTGTCCATGTTGCTCGAACCGGTGAGCAGACGACAAGGCAATGACAGCATGGCGCACAGCAGGTTCCTGCGCGCTAGCTTGGAAGATCAATGTCTCCCAAAAGTCCGAGGGAAATAGACCGGCAAATTTCTTTATAGTTCGTTTAATCAACCAGTCAAAGCAGACATTTTCTTCGTGGTTGAGACTGCCAACTGGCACGGGCGTGCAGTAGACTGATAGATCCCGGTTGCTCTGTGGCTGTGCGTAGGGAGTGCCGCCACCTCCCCAGATTCCATAGCCATCACAGACTCGGCTGGTTGATACACAGCGTCGGCAAGCCGGTCGGCCTTCATCGCATTTTACGCGGCGTATTCTTGATACACTTAGCTTGACTCATGTGGAGGGGTAGACCGAGCCTTACTTGCAGGTCTTGCAGCCTGTTTTGACCTTTCTCTTACGAGTCAGTGGGGTTCCTGTGTACATGTTGGTATACACAGACAAGTGAGGGAGTCAGAGGATGTTCTGGGCAATATAGTCGAGGGGCATCGGGGTTAACGTTAACTGCGAAGCTATTGGACAGCTCGCTTTTTATGGCTTTTCATTGGCCAAGGGAGGTAGTAAGTCCCCACCTCGTGTTCATCTTCTATACTTCGGACATCTTTTTTAGTCGGCTGATTGGGAAAGTCGGAGTTAGACGCAATGAATCTCTCCGGGTACTGCTATATAAGCCGTGTTCCCTGGGTGGTTTATCTTTATCACAACCAAGCATTGTTTTACATCTACATCCTCTTCAACCATGTCGCTTCCCACTCGATCCCTTGGCCGCAACGGCCCTCAAGTCCCTGCCGTTGGCTTGGGACTCATGAGCCTCGGCAGTGTCTACGGATCTGCCGGTACACTCGAAGACAAGGTCGCATTCCTTGAACATGCCCATGCCATTGGTTCCAGATTCTGGGATACCGCCGATGTATACTTCGACAGCGAAGATGCCGTTGGCGCGTGGGTCAAAGAGTCAGGCAATCGCGACGATGTTTTCCTGGCGACCAAGTTCGCTCTGCATAACAGCGCATTGGAGACGGTCCGTTCGGATCCGGAGTATGTCAAGGCTGCCTGTGAGAAGAGCTTGAAGAGACTTGGTGTTGAGACCATTGATCTTTATTACTGCCATCGGGTTGATGGTGTGACGCCTATTGAGAAGACTATTGAGGCTATGGTTGAGTTGAAAGAGTATGTTGTACTGCTTATAATGACCGGAATCTCTTTTCCTGACCACCTTCTAGCCAAGGCAAAATCAAATATCTCGGACTATCTGAATGCTCTGCATCGACTCTCCGCCGTGCTCATGCTATCCACCCTATCGCTGCGTACCAGGTGGAATACAGTCCCTTCGCGTTGGATATTGAGTCGCCAACCACTGATATCTTGAACACCTGCCGTGAACTTGGTATTGCTGTCATCGCCTACAGTCCCGTCGGTCGCGGCATTCTAACTGGACAAATCCAATCGCTTTCCGATATCCCCGAGAATGACTTCCGTCGCATGCTTCCCAAGTATGGAGAGGAGAATTTCCCGAAGATTTTGGAACTAGTTCAGGGACTCAAAGCGGTTGCGAGTAACCATGGCAGCACTGCTGCTCAGGTGGCTATTGCATGGCTTCTTGCTCAAGGTTCTGATATAATTCCGATTCCTGGCACCAAGTCGATCAAGAACCTTGACGAGAATACCCGTACTGTTTCTCTGAACTTATCGGAGAAGGAGCTGACGGAGATTCGGGAGTTGATCGACCGAACGGAGATCCCTGGGACGCGCTATCCTGCTATGTGGGTTTGACCTTTTATTAGTTAAGGTGGATCGGTGCTAATTGTTTATAGGATGATGGACTGTGTTTTTGGAGACACACCGGCACTCTAGGGGATTCCAGAGCTTCTTGTAATTTCGGACCTTGCTTATTCCTAATGTACTGGTCTGATGTCATGTCTCCAATTCGTACATACATGTCAGATTCAAGGCCAATAACAAACCAGAACGAATAGGGGCCATTCCAACCCATTTCAACCGACATTCCCTGTCTGCAGGACTCCGGTTTCTCTTCAACATACTATATATCAATAGGTTATACATATGACATATACTCCATACGTAGTTATCAGATCAGATCTCCATCTAAATAAGCTTAACCCCTGAGAACTTTAGCCCTCTTAACAGCCATATGACATACATCGTAACATCAAGGCGGCAAGTGGGTCCCAGCAGAGCGATAGTCGAAGATCTTATTGAACAAGCGAGAACAACTAAGTACTAACTATTACACTTGGTCCACTTGGCATCCCTTGGGGGCAGAACCAGCCTCCAATTATTACAGGGGAAAACCCCGCGCCGGAAAAAAAAAAACCATTTGTGGCACTTGAACCTCGAAAAATCTTGATCTCAGATCGTATCTGGGATATGATATGTCCTCCAGCAGTGACTCCAGCCCAGGCAACTGGATTACAGGCAGCTACACCGGCAACAGCATCGGCGTCCGCATCACGATTGCAACCTTTGTTGGCGTCGCGTGGTACAACGTAATCGAGTTGATCGTCCTCATCTTCCTCACGTTCAAACGATATGAAGGCCCCTACTTCTGGAGCATGCTGGTATCCAGCGTGGGAATCCTGCCTTACTCGGTCGGCTATTTGATCAAATTTTTCGGTCTCACTTCCGCGACTTGGTTGCCCGTTACGCTGTTGACCATCGGATGGTGGACGATGGTCACCGGCCAGTCATTTGTGCTGTATTCGCGACTGCATCTTGTCATTCAGAACATGCGCGTCTTGCGATGGGTGAAAACGATGATCATCACCAATATTTTCTTGCTGCATGTGCCAACTACTGTGCTCACTTATGTTGCCAACTTTTCCAATTCCCAGACGTCTGTTGATGGCTATGATGTTATGGAGAAGTTGCAGTTGACTGGTTTCTGTGTGCAGGAGGTCATTATTTCTGCTATGTACATGTGGGAGACGAATCGTATGTTGCGCATGAATCAGGATCATGTCAGTCGCAAGACTATCATGCAGCTGCTTGCTGTCAATGTTTCTTGTATCCTCATGGATATCGCGTTGATGGTGATTGAGTTTATGAACTTCTATATCTACCAGACTACTCTCAAGGCCACGCTGTACAGCATCAAGCTGAAGCTTGAGATTGCCGTCTTGGGTAAACTGGTCAATATCGCCCACCAACATATGTGGCGGTCCTCGTCGCTGAATGGTGCGGGCCACTACCCATCTTTTGTCGACCCGAGTCGCGCCCTGGGTGATTTCCAACATGCAGACTCGCTGGCTACTGATTCTATGGCTACGAGTTCAGGTTCTAAGGGACGTACGTCCGGGACTGAAGCCATGGACACCAATATCAGATGATCTGGAAGATGGTTATCGAAATCCTCATCTAGGCCGACGCCTTTTTCTTTCCCGTTGCATCTTGCAGTACCATTGCTCTTGGCGAGATGATCGACACCACAAATGTCACAGTCCACCCGCAAATTCGGGCGTACTTTCGGGCAAAATCTGACCTGGTGATTGTTCGTCGATCAGCCCTAGCTCCACTGTTGAATCCACACCAACAAATCAACATGAAGCCGGCGTGAAACACCCCGCCCCGGACTTCGCCTGCGCCACTTCATCTTCTTGCATGATTGAATTAGAGAAACCCGAGAGAGCGAACATGCCTCTGGGTCAGCCCGGGACCCTTGTCTCCTTCATAGAGTCAGATCCGAACTATGTGTATACTACCCTTTGCGGAGCGCACGAGAGCACGATGTTACGAGCCCATGTCAATATATAGCATCCTAATTGTCTGATCAAGATTGACTGTCCCTTCGAGTCATTGTAGTTGAGTACAGGGTACATCATAGTTGTAAATCGGCACTTTGCCGTACTTAGTATAGAACGAAGATGAAACCCTCATTCGATGATCTAGTTTCAAGAACAATATATATGCAATAAATCGGGCCCAGGTCCCGAAGATGTACTAGTACTGCGATCGGAATGGTGATCTATGTCGGGATCTCGATGTGTTAAAAATGGGGATCTCCAAGCACTACGCAAGAATATCATGATTATAGACGGACACAAATAGCCCTGATCACGTCATTAAACATTCCAAGCGAGAAAACCCCGGAAAGGAAAAAGAAGAAAAAAAAAACCGGCAGGCCGATCCGATGCGATGCGCGAACAACCGGGCCGGTGAGACATGAGGGGTAGCGATAAGCAACACTATGGAGTAACTTATAGTGAATCGAACACACAATGGTGAACAAAAAGAAAAGGGTATATTGTATTCTGTATTCTATGTTATTTAATCTTATTTAATCCGACTCAGCCTTCTCATGCAAATAAAGCCGACCCTCAGTATTGACAAAACCACCAATGCCAAACGCGGGGATAATGCGACACATGCGCAACAATGACGCGCCAATCCAGTCGCGACTAACACGACTCACGCGATCTTTCGTAGGCATAACTTGCGGCCGGTTATAGAGGTCCAATCCGAGGAGGTGGATTGGTGTGCTGATCAGCTGGATTGAGGCTGGGATCGCTAGTTGCGCGATCAGGATCTTGAGGTATTCTTGGGAGGCGATTGAGTCAGGGATTGACGCTGAGACCATTGCTGGTAGGCTGAAGGAGCCGAAGATTGTTAGGCCGTCGCGTAGGAGGAAGGCTGAGTATGTTGCTAATGGGATGCGGGTGCGGCCGATTGAGCGGACGGTTTTGGGGATGGGGTTGGGGTTGGTTTTGGTATTTGGTTGGGCCGTTGTGGATGATGCTGTAGATGTTGGTGTGGGTGTAGATGTAGGTGTGGGTGTCGGTGTGGGTGTAGTCTTAGGCTGGCCGAATAGTTGGGCGAATTTCACGTCCTTCCAGATGCCCACGGAGGAGTTGACTATGAATGTTGTGGCGAAGGTTGTCATGCCTGCAATGGCGTGGTCGATCTTTGGGTACCACTTGCCCAGGATGGTCTCGGAGGCATTGGCTGTTGCAAATGTTGCTGTATAAAGGGACCAGACGAGGAGACTGGGGCGGGATGTTAAGAAGGTTGCGGGCTGTGTGATGGAGAACCAGAGGTGTCTGCGGAATGCTGGAAAGAGAGGTTGGTTGTAGAAAGATTTCTCGACGACAAGTCTGGACAAATTTGTTAGTTTGTTCCTGGTTGAATATAGATCAGAAAGAATTACCTATCAAAGATCATCACCGCCGGGGTAATCAGCGTTGCTGAACCTGCAGCAACGAGCACATCGGCCGCCAAAAGCTCTGCCATGCGGCTTCGAGTCCGGTGAATGCCAAATGGCAATGCCTGGTCTTGGTGTTGAAGGTTCTGCGTCATGGTGGATATAATGCGTTCAAGGCAACGCTATCATGCTATTCGTGACCGTCTTGCAGTCTGGTATTCGTGTTGTAGAGACAGAACAATCGTTTCGCAATGTGTGTATATGCTTGAAAGATACTATTACAATTAGAATCAGGACTTCGCGGGGCAGAACAAATTGTGAGACTTACTGTGGATCAATGAATAGATCAAGGGATCAACGCTGGAAGAAAATGAGGAAATAACGAGAAAGAAAGAGAGAGGAAGAGAGAGTAAAATAGTTGAGGAAACCAACCCCTCAGATATAACCCCAGGACAGACGTATAATGTAATGCCAACATCTTATCGAGCACTCGAACATTTATAGATCGCCCGCTCAGGGCCAGCACATCGGCGAACCGAGCCAATCATACCCGAGACCGGGCCGGCCACCGGTGCTGTGTCGTGAGCCCTAATTGGCAGAGTCGCCGCACAATGATCGCCCGTATAATCAGGGACATTCATTCTAGAAGTTTGACCAATTTTGCTTAACGCGTGCGATTGCCCCAAGGGGAATGATGTATGGTTCTCCCCGCATTCCCCCGACTGTATAACAGAATTTGTCTACGCGAGTTGCCTTGAGACCTGTGACTCTTCCTTTTCACCGACTTCTGCATTGTGGGGTTTCTTTTCGCCTTCGACTTTAGGCAGTTAAAGGAGATAGGGTTTGAATCTGCAATTCCTGTCTGCCCAACGAACTAACAAAACGATTAAAGCTTCGCTCCGATCTGTTCTCCAATAGGAGGGCACGATGGATTCTATCTAATAATCCCAGTGAATTATGAACGGCTGTACCTTTCACTTTAGAATTTACGATTTCCCTCTTCACAGGAACCATACCAACAATGACTTAGGCTTAGCATTACTTGACGTATAGTAAAGTTAATCACAAATAGATAGGATCTATCAAATAATTGACTTCCATTAGCCGAAATTTGGAGAATTTACTGGGCATGTCTGAAGGGAATGATAACTATGTACAGTACAAAAAATCAACAAAAAATCACAGGCCCGAGCCGCGGATCGAACGCGGGACCTCGCGCAGGAGTGCTTAGGTTTTGGATACCCTAAGCGCGAATCATACCACTAGACCACCCGGGCTGCTATGAAATTTTCGATCTAGGTTGGCCAACAGTAGTCAGCCCACTTTCATCCAAGTCATCAATTGATTTTTTTTTCGGATTTTTTCCATCAAAGGTAAAATAGACGTTGCCATTACTCGGAATTTATTTAATATAAGATTTTCATTCTTTGTATTATCTTGGCCACGGTAGAATCGATGGATGGGTATGTTGGCAACCATTTTCGTAGGTATCCGTTGGGCTATATTTCATCTAAGAAATGATTGGGAAGACCAGTACGTTCTTAAATGGGCGCCTTTGTTGGGTATCTTTGCGCACGTAATATATTTTGCGGATTGTGCTCCACCGACCTTTAGATATGTGTATTTCTCGCGACTTTAAGTGGTCAAACCGACCGGCTAGGTTTGTATTCCTGTTGTTTTCTTTTTTTTTCCCCTTTCA